CGCCCCCGACCCCCCGCGGCAAGGCTGCCCACCCACCTGCGCGTCCAGCTGGTTCAGCTGCTGCAGGTCGCCGCCCACTGCCTCGGGCACAGGGTCTTGAGTGCAGTGCAAACGGCCCATGGCGCCCGATCTGGCCTCCGGGCCCCGCCGCCTTCCCGAGCTTCCTCCTTCCCCGCCACCGCCGCCGCCGCCTCAGCGCACTTCCGCAGCCGCACTTTCGCCACAGCGCCGCGGCCTCCCTGGGAGGCCCGGGGCGGGTGGGCGCGCCCTCGCGGGGCCGGGGACGCGCGCGGGCTCTCGGCTGCGGTGGAGTCGCGCACGCGCTCGGGCTCACGGCTGCGGAGAAGTCCCGTGGAGTCGCGCACGCGCGTCACCTCTGAGCCAATGGAGGACCTTGAGGAGCAGAGCCACCAAATGTAGACTTTCTGCTTGGGCTCTTGCAGAGTGACCCCTGGGCACAGCCTTGGCCTCTTTGCACCTCAGTTTCATCCTCTGTAAAATGACTCCTGCTTACATGTGTTCACCCTCCTAAAAGGCTTAGAAGAGAACTGGGCACACAGGTGGCCCTCAATAGAGGGTCGGTGGTGGTTATGTGCCGTGGAGTTGGTTCTGATTCATAACAACCCTGTACAGCGTTTCCGAGGCTGTAAATCTTTACGGGAGCAAAAGCCTTAGCTTTCTCCCGCGGAACAGCCGGTAGTTTCGAACTGCTGACCTTAAGGTTCACAGCCTGATTCTTAACCACTAGGCTACCAGAGCTCCTTGTTAGTATGCATTCAGCACATCCTCACTGCGCACCTACTAGATTAGATGTCAGGCACTGGGTATAATATGGAAGTGACCAAAACAGGCCAGAATGACCCTCAGCGAGAGTACAGCAGAACAGAGCATTGGGTGTCAAGTTATCTTCACTTGGAGGGCTTCCTAAGCACAGAATTCTGGGTCCCACCACTAGAGAATCTGAAGAAATGGCCCTGGGATGAAGTTGGAATATCCACAAGTTCCCAAGGGCCACTGACTCAACAAAAGATACTCAGAAAAATGCATGGCCATGACAGTGTCTGGGAAGGAGGTGGGGAGATTATTGGGACAATGAAATCATGAAAGCCCCTAAAGCAGTGATTCCCACAATTTTATCTTCTCAGGAACCCCTCAAGTGAGCATCACCCTGATCCCTGTTGGATAGAGAAGGAAACTGAGGCAAACTCCCTGGAACCTAGGACTACTGACTCCCAAATCTAGGAGCTTCAGTAACATCCTAATCCAGCCTTAGAGGGCAGGGAATTGCCTAGAAACCTAGAGGGCTGATAGGACATGGGAGGGTTGGTTGGCCTTCCTCACCAGGCTTCCTTCTCTACCGTTTCCCAAAAAATCCCTTCTGGAAGAATAGGAACAAAATGTCTTCTATCCACAAGCCAAGCCCACAGTGGTTTGTCATTATTTCATTCATGGTTTATCCAACAGATAATATTGAGTTTACAGCCTTGGAAACCCTGTGTAGGGTCAATATGAGTCGGACCCAACTCCACGGTACTTAACTACAACAACTGTGGGCCAAAAGGAGCTCTGGTAGTGTGGCGGTTATGAGTTGGGCTGCCAACCACAAGGTCAGCAGTTGGAAACTACCAGCGGTTCTGCCGGACAAAGATGAGGCGTTCTGCTCCCGTAAAGATTTACAGCCTCAGAAACCTTGTGCATGGTTGCTGTAAGTTGGAACCGACTCCACAGTATGTAACAACTGTGGCCAAGGAGCTCTGGTAGTGTAGTGGTTATGAATCAGGCTGCTAACCTCAAGGTTAACAGTTCGAAACTACCCGCTGTTCCATGGGTGAAAGATGAGGCTTTCTACTCCCATAAAGATTTATAGTGTCAGAAACCCTATGCAGGGTCCCTGTGAGTTGCAACCAACTCCAAGGCACACCACCACCACTGTGGGCCAAGGACTCTTGGTATGGTGCTATCGGCACTGGACTGTGAACCACAAGGTCAGCAGTTCAAACCTACCAGCTGCTCCTTGGAAACCCTACTCAGGGTCACTATGAGTCGGAACTGACCCAATGGCACGTAATAAATACAACGCTGTGGGCCACAGGAATCTTGGTGGCTCAGTGGGCTAAGCATTGGGCTGGTAACCACAATGTAGGTGGTTCAAACCCACCAGCAACAGCTCTGAGGGAGAAAGATGAGGTTGTCTTCTGTAAAGATTTAGTCTCAGAAATCCTATGGAGCAGTTCTACTATGTCCTAAAGGGTCACTATGACTTGGAATCAACTCAGTGGCATTAGGCTAATGTGGGTCACACAACCTGATAGGGACTGGGCACACAGGACAAAGCCAGATACAGACTCTGACTTGAAAGAAGTCAATTTAGTTAGGGGGCAGGCACACACAAATTTCCTAAGTGTGGGTTATATATGAAACTGGGGTCTTAGTGTGGCACAGTGGAGTTCTGATGTGGCATTGTAGGATAAGCACTGGACTTCAAGGTCAGTTTTAACCTCAAGGCCAGCAGTTCAAACATACAGGGTCGCTATGAGTCAGAATTGACTGGATGGGACTTAACAACAGCAACAATACGTGTGGCACTGTAGGATAAACACTGGACTGCAAACCCACCAGTTACTCCTCAGAAACCCTTTACAGTGTTGCTGTGAATCAGAACCAACTCAAAGGCACTTTACAACAACAAGTATATATAATTATTAAGTGATGCTGAGAGGTACAAGGTGCTCTGGGAGTACATACAGAGGACTTGTCCCAATCCAGGATGCTGGGAAGAGAACAAATAAGAGACCAAACCTTGGGGTTTTCAAAATGCAGACACTGAACTCAGACTACTTGAGTGGTCTAGGAATTTTTATTTTTAAATCATTTCAAATCATTTTTTAAAAAGATCACTGGCAGGGTACTACAAGAGTATATTTATCTTTAAATTTTAAACGAACGTATTGAGATAATTTACACACCATAAAATGTGTCCATTTACATGTATTTTCAAAATTTATTTTAAACTAATTTTTAACATCCTTGAGGAAACTACTGGGTTTCCTTCATTTCTGCACCCACAGTGACTGGCACTGTGGCACTCAATAAATATTTGTGGATCTGAATTAGCCCATATGACAAAAGTAGAGAAAAAGGGAGGAAATTCACTGGAAACTCACATACCCACACACCTACTGCCATTAAGTTATGGAAGCAGAAAGCCTCCTTTTTCTTCTGTGGAGTGGCTTGTGAGTTTGAGCTGCTGACCTTGTGGTTAGTAGTCCAGTGCTTATCCTACACCACCACAAAGACTGTCTTGTTTTCCAGTCTTCCACATAACTAATTGGTCATTGGGGTTTCTGTGAAGGGTTTTATTTTACATGTTCAGGGCTCTTCCTTTTAAACAAGCTTTTCAGTCCCTCCTACTTTTCAAATCCACCAGCTGCTCCTCAGAAACCCTACACAGGATCACCATGAGTCAGAAACAACTTGAAGGCTCTTGGGCACTTAACAACAACAACAACAACTTTTCATTTGGAATCCTGGTGTGGCACTGTAGGATAAGCATTGGGCTACAAGGTTGGTTTGACCTGCAGGATTGGTGGTTCAAACTCACCAGTTGCTCCTTGGAAACCCTATATAGGATCGCTATAAGTTTGAACCAACTCGATGGCACTTAACAACTTTTAAATTTGTTTTGTATTCACCAGGAAGGAGTCATGGTGGCACAGTGGGTTCAGCATTGGGCTGCTGACCCAAAGGTTGGCGACTGGAACTCACCACCTACTCCAAAGGAAGAAGATGTGACAATCTGTTGTTGGCAGTGGATTTGGTTGGGGTTTTGGACTCGCCATGAATTAGAATCGACTTCATGGCAACTAACAAAAACAGTACTCCCAGTGTGGTCCCTGGATCAGCTGCCTTGGCATCACCTGGGAGGTTGTTGGAAAAGTAGCATCTCAGCCCGCCCCAGGCAGGCTGCTTCTGGATCTACATTTTAATGACACTCACTGCAACCTCATACACAAGGGAACAAACACTGCCTGGTCCCCAGGAACAAACGGCGAGAGAAAAAACAAAAATAAAACAAAATCTACTGTCATCAAGTCTATTTGAACTCACAGGGATCCTGACCCAATAGGATACAAAAGACCTGCTGTAGGGTTTCCAAGGCTGAGCAGACAGCCTCATCTTTCTCCCTCTGGGTTTGAAGCACGAAACTTTTGGTTTGTAACACAATTCTTATCCAACTACGCTACCAGGGTTCCTTCAACTAGCACTTGTGAGGGGCTGTTGAGTCGTTTTTGACTTATAGTTACCTTATTGAACAACAGAACAAAACACTGCCCAGTCGTGCACCATTCTCACAATATGTTTGAGTGTGTGTGTGGGGGGGGGGGGGAAGGGCCTTCCTCCTTTTTGCTGACCCTCCACTTTACCAAGCATAATGTTCTTCTCCAGGGACTGTTCCTTCCTGATAATATGTCCAAAGTATGAGAAGTCTTGCCATCCTGGCTTCTAAGGAGCATTCTGGTTGTACTTCCTCCAACACACATAGCACTGGCTGGCTGGCTGTGTGCTGCTGAGTCGGTTCTGACTCATATCAACCCTGGATGGGATTTCTGTAAATCTTCACAAGAATAGAAAGCCTCATCTTTCTCCCACAGAGTGCCTGGGGGACTTGAACTGCTGAATTTGCAGTTAGTAGCTCAAAGTGTAACCCACAAGGTCATGAGACAAATAGTAGTACTAGGATGGACAAAATCTCATGGTGGGGAAAGACATCATGGCTGCCTAGAAATGGGCGCACTTTATAATGCATCTCCCTGAAATAAAATAAGCCTCAAAATCTCAAACAACACCACCATTCTAGGCTTCAGTGATAAGAGCTGCGTAACATTATTGTAAAAACATTGCATAAATATTCTGACCATAATAATACCCATCATCAATCAACAGGGTTGCCTATTTTGGTCTTTATTTTTACTTTCTTCAGTTTTGTTAAGAATTTTGCAAAGATCAAAAACATTAGGTCAAAACATCTTTCTGATGCTCTCCTTCACAAGCTCCTATTAAAGGAAGGACAAGTGTGGTGAATGGGGTTAATACCATAATTTTGTAGCAGGAAATGCAGGTCTGGAGTAGGCCTCCCTTTCTAGAGATGGTCTGGCCCCCAACAGCTTCTATTTTAACTTTAATAAGAGACCGTACTCCCTTCATTCACTTTAAAATGTCCCAGGGGAGGGTAATGGAGCTCCCCATGCAAGTGAAAGAAGTTCTTTAAGAAGCTGTGTCTCAGACACTGAAGATTCCTGCTGGGA